TACAAATATGGACTCTTTATAAGCCGTTATCCGAGAGCATTTGCTCTCGGGCCCTTGATTTTAACATGTATTCTTGCATTTGGTGCATTCAACGTGAGAATGGGAGGTGAGCCATTTTGAAATTGGTTACATCGAGCTTTGGAATATTTTACACATTTAAGGATGATCTACGATTTTTATATTCTCCAGAACATTCACGATCGCGGCTTGAGTATCAGATACATAAAAATTTCTCTGGAGCAACAATGAACAGGTCAGATGGCTTCTCACGTGGTGCGATTCATAGTTCAAACTTATTCCACAATAGTGCATCGCCAAAGTGTCTCGATGATCAATGAACTCTTATTAGAAGATAGATTTCGTTGAAAGATTCGTTGAGTACGCATAGGAGTGAAGCATAGGGTGGCTGGTGTCAAAGAAACAGCCTATTGGGCTTCCATCTTCCCATCCTCCGCAAAATTTTCCCTAAACAACACGTGTGGTGTGATCAAGTTCTTCTACGACTCTTCACGAATCGCCCAAAACAAGAAGCGCGATGGTGAGAGAAGGGGGAGGGGGAAGGCTAAAGAATGCATTAGTATTCCATGCAACAACGGAGTAATGATTCTGAAGTGTAAGGCCTTTGTGGACCGATCTCAGTTGATCGTCTTTATTACGGACGTGTGGTATACAGGGTGGCTACTAAATATTGGCGCATGGTTAATTGACCATATTTCCAAAAAGAGAATCTATTAAATCTTCAGAGGTTTATCTTTATATACAGTAGAACATAACAATTCATTACTAGAGAAGATGCTCGGAAAGAAGTCCTCCGGCGGCGATACAGGCTTCAAGTCTCTTCTCAACTGACATCACCGTGGGCCGCAAGCAGTTTTCGTCGAGTTACTTCAACGCTTCCTCCTAGGAAGCCTTCAGGAAGTCCAAACTTCGATGTTGCCTAGAAGGCATCTTCTGCTGCAGGAAGCCCCACACCGCAAAATCCATTGGGTACAATCGGGTGAGTTAGATGGCCAAACATCTGGTGACCAGTAACCTGGAAAATGGCGGTCACAGAACACCAGCGTAGATTTTGCGGCATGCGGCATGGGGAGGAGCCTAGTCTTGCTGAAGAAGGCACTGACATTTGCTGGAGGTCGAAACAGTCCATGGAACGAGCACATCACGTAAAATTGTTTCCTGGTAGATCTGGGCGTTAATTTTGACGGATTTGTCCACAAAGACAAACGGTGTCTCGGTGTCGGAAGTAATTCCTGCCTAAATCATGACAGATTTTGGAAATCGGCTCCTTGTGTGCGCACGACGTCGAGCAGGATGCCTGCTAGCCGGATCCAACAATTGCCTGTCCTTTTGAGAATTGTGCGCCAATTCCAGTGTGATGATCTTCTCGCGTCACGTTGACGTCACTTACTTGCGGCCCACGGTGATGTCAGTTGAGAAGAGACTTGAAGCCTGTATCACTGCCGAGGGAGGCCATTTCGAGCACCTTCTTCAGTGATGCATGGATATGTTTTACTGTATATAAAAATAAACTTCTGAATATGTAATAGTTTCTCTTTGCAAAAATATGGTCAATAAACCATGCGCCAATATTTAGTAGCCACCCTGTACATTTCATCGCAGAGTAAGTAGAAAGTGACTGCTCCCCTGCCCTTCCCTATTCGTGAGGAATTCCTCGACGATCACCTAGTTGTGATTGAAACCTGGGATACGGCCCGGGTGGGAAGAATCGTTGACAGGGAGAGAGATCTGTCTCTAAGTACACTGTGGAAGGCGTCGCTATTGGATGAGTTTTACAAAACATTGTAGAGAGAGGATGATCTTTCAAGAGATAGGAAATTGTTCCGAAAATTCTACTCGTGATTTATTGAAGTCTGCTGGTTGACTGATGTGTTATGCCTTTGAATAAAAGTTTTCGTAAAGTTTGTAAGGTAAATGGAGTTGGAAAGTGCACACACTGAGGGTGGTGTGTGTAGATTAGTCGAGGTGGAAAAATTCTTTGCCAGCAGGCATTTTTTTGATATTTATTGATACGTGCTTGTTTTTCTTTGTTTCTCTATTTTCTTTTCCTAATTACTATTTTTATTGTTTTTTTTCATTGTTTTTTCATTACTTTTCTTCAATTTCACTTACATCTCATTTCTGCCGTTCCATATTTTTCTGAGCAAGTAACTGAATATGCACGTGGTGCTCATGCTTTGCTCAAAGTTCTATGAACGGGAGATTTTTCACGAGGTTGGGTTCCCAACTGTTTTCCGCTAGCATCATCAAAACACGTAGAAGTGCCACACTTGTGGCTCTTTTTGATCAACCATTACAAGAGCCATTAGAATGTGAATTTTCTTTTCTAAGAAAATAGTACAGAAGTAGAGACTCACGTTTTTTGTTTACCATTTCCTCTTATCGCCTTTTTTTTTCGAAAGCTTCTGCAAAGAATGTTATGCTTGAAAAACAAATTCAAGTTCTTCTTTGAGGTGACCCAATCCGGTAGTAGTAATTGAGCTCAATATTTTAGCTCATTCGTTTCCGTCACCTTGGAGTCAATGGACCAAGACAAAAATTTGCTCACTCCTGAAAAATGCCTGATGATTCGAAAGCTGAACAAATATATCATGGAAAACCTGACTCTAAATATAGCAGGCGAACAGGTGAGGATCATGGAAAACAAACAACAGTTCACAATTACATTACATAAACAAGTTCATGTAAATGTGAGTTACCTTGAGGTGGCAGCATGTGGCTTTGTAGTGGTCTACGTACTGTGTGACCTGGGATCAAATCCTATGTGCAGACCTACTAATTTACAGCCTAACGAGACCCCTCAATCTTCCTTAGTTGTGAATGGCTATATACCTTTTCGAGAAGGTAAAGGCAATGACAGAACAATGGTGTACCCTTATACATCGTTTTTTTAGCGGTCGTATTTTTTTTCACTTATCAGTACAGTTCTTTTACGAGACGTCCGATTTCACGGCGAATCCCACAAGGCCAAATGTTTATAACATTAATCTTTAGTGATGGAGCGCCAAATGTATATAACCATTAAACTCTATAATATCTAGTTTTTTTTCTGCCAAAACAGGTCAAGTGAGATGTCCGCGCAAGTTAACGAGACCTGATAAAAGTCACATTCAGTGATTCGCTTTCGTTTCCGCTTTCATAACTGAAGGTGGATTTCATGATGAAAAGGTGGCTCATTAGAAAAAGCGGTATGGGTGGTGCATGAATAAACAAAAAAGCACGAGAACCGGCCCAGAATCCGACAAATGGGACCCTTTCCTTGAACGTGATTTCTGCATGATGCGCACCCTCATCGGTGCGACCTCTCGCAATCGCTTAACCGCTCTTCGGCGAACGGCCTGTGACTCAGGACACGAGAGGGCAGCGAGAGGAGGGGGGGGATAGCCGCACAGGGCTATGCCAACAGCACTTCGTATAATGTATGCTGTAGAAGCAATTAGCCAGGAAATCTTGAAGAACTCCAAATGGGTTGACACAGGCCAACATCCTGGCAGAAGGACCGCTATTTTGAAGACCCGGCACTGAAAAAAATAACATGTGGGCGCTATCGCAAAAAGGGGGGGGGGCATTGTGGCGGCAAATGCATATAAAATCACATTGAACATCTCCTTTTTGTAAACGGAATTGAGCCTTAGGTGATGGAGAAATCGCTCAGGGTATAAGCATTTTCACTTTCCCTGCTTCATGCCCCCTCCTAGGCTTACAGTAGCGGTCAAAAGTGTTCGCCGAAACGGTTTTTCGTGCTTCTTTTTTTTTGCCAAAAAAAATCAATGGTGCCTCAAAAATTTTCTTTTGAATATCCTGATTCTTTAAGACTTGAGGATATAAAAACACTAGAAACATAGTATATCAATCTTTGGAGGCGTTGCTCAAGCGAGAAAAAATAATGCACTAAAAATCGTTTCGGCGAACACTTTGACCGCTACTGTGGTTCTACAGCACTCCCCGTATCTTGTGGTGGTGCCGAATTGTAAAACCGCGCTACACTCATATTTGATCCATATATTGATTTTCAGCTAATTCATTTAATTTATGGACATCACCTTTCCAAATTTCCACCATCACCAAAGCGGGAATTTCCCGCTAAAGATCATCATCGTATTACTATTATTATTTTTTCCGCATTTAATCTTACCTATTGTGAAATTGTTTCCTTATTCAGACCTGTATCATTTGTTCTATTCTGTAGCAATAGTCATAAATAAATAAATAGATGCATTTGACTTGTAAAGGCCTCTCAAGGAGGAAGACTGAATCAATTCAAGCAGAACAACCAACTTTGTGCAGCAGAGATCGTGAAACTGCAAGCCTACCTCATACAAGAATGATTGAAACAAATAAAAGTTCAGAATGCTCTGGAAGGAAGCGAAAATAGTGAGATTATGGAAGAAGCAGGATGAGACAAAGAAGATCTGGCCCACTACACGCATGTTATAGGACTTGTCGGTCCAACCCGACTTTCCATCCGCTTGGCTTTATTAATTGGTACTAGACTCATCTTAAAAGGTAGGGACGTTATCTATGCATCTGGTATTAATACCTTATACCAACACGCATTCAACTACTGCACGATTTCGATTGAAACTAGAAGGCGTGGCGCACCTCCGGAAGGGATCGATTGGTTGCCCGACGACATATCTCATTGCCTTACTTATATAATTGGAGGAAGTTAAGGATCCAGCAACCTAGGACGTTGACAGCTTCCGCGACAGAGCTCTTAAAAGAAGGACACAGAAATGCGCTAAATCCACTCGCCCTGTCGTAAAGTCA